ATGGATAATTTTGCAAGGCTGGTGCCTGTGACATTACTAGAATAATCCTCCAATGGAAGTGGGAATTACATATTATACAAATGACAATAAACAATTGAAGAGATGATTGTACAGCATATTAGATGCTTGCTTGCTCATGTAGGAGTCTTATATGTGTACTAGCTAATTGCCAATCAAGAATGATGGATCCCTGCTCCCTTCCTTCTCCCTGCCACCTCCCTCTCCCTGCTGGCTGTTGTCAGGGCTGGGCAGTGGGGAGGGGCGGCCAACATGACCCCCTCTCTTCTTCCCCTCCCTGCTTCCCTCCCTTCCTTCCTCCCCGCTGCCCAGCCCCAACAACAGCCACCACCATGACCCACTGCTTTGCCTCCCCCTGCTCCATGCCCACCTGGACCCATGCAGCCTCTCTCCCTCCCTACCACCTCCCCCTTCCTTCCGGCTGCTGTCACGGCCCCATTACTGCTCTCCTCCCCTGCTCCCTACCACCCAGCCCTGACAACAGTCACTACTGTGATCCCTCCCTTTGCCTCCCCCCACCCACTACCTCCCTCTCCTTGCTGGCTGTTCTGGGGGGTCAGTGGGGATGGGCGGTGAGGGCCACCGTAACCCCCACCTTTGCCCTCAGGTAGAGAGATGTGGGGAAGACTTGTTTCTCAGGCAGCTGGAGCGTGTTCTCCACAAACTTCCCTGGCAGTGGCTCAAACTTGGGCCCGTGCAGCCAATCACCTCCCGCCCTCTCAGCTGTGCATGCACAGCCGGCCAAAAGTGTTACGAACAAATGCACAGACTAAGTCCTTTATTATATTAGAATTGTTTGCACAACAACAAACTGCACTAAAAAGTAAAAGGAAGAAACAATTTCCTCTATCATGCATATGTTCCTTTTTTTAAAAGAAAAAACCTATTTCTTGTCTTTTCTTTTGGATTTTCACAATGGTATAAGCATTTCAAAAGACATCTTATTCTGCCTTCATGAAAGTTCCATAAAATGCATGTGTTAGATGCTGTATCAAGATACTAGAGTTCAGGACCATTTTTCCATTAACGTGATTTTTGTAGGTTCCTGTCTCTGGAAATTTAAGAGCCACAGAGCAAAAGGTAGTGCTTACTAACCTTCTGTACAAGTAGGTTGATCTACTCAGGTTGAAAATTGATTTGTTTCTCACTTTGACACGTGAAGATTTAGTGTGACTCTATCAAATGTACGGAGGGGCAAACATCAACATATCTTGAGGCTAGAGAAAAGTTGGCATTAATATAATACATTTCATGCTCCATAAAAAAAATAAAGGAACTACTTAGTCCCACTTCTATTGGTATGTCACTTTTTTTTCCCCTTCTCCCAAAGCAGCTCTATGTGAGAAAACAGATTTTTGTTAAGAGCTCATCAACTCCTTCTGTTTATTCCTCATGTGAAGTCATCATCCCCTGACATACCATAATCATTACCGCAGCAACCAGTTATGATTTACCAAGCAAAGGATTATGTCAAGAATAAGCAGCAGATGAATGCTAAGCAAACAGCAATTCTGATGTGATGAAACTGTCCCTAGTAATAAGGGAGAAAAAGAAAACTAGAAATGTTAACATATACTGTATATTTTTAAGCAGAAAGTTTTTTTTCCAAAATGTTCCTGTGGTTTCCAGCTGTCTCTAAGAATATGAAGTAGATTGTCTTAAGTAGATTTGTCTAGCTGCACATAGAACAATTAACCTATTCTGCATAAATCTTAAGGATGATGAGTACTATGGAATAATATACCTTAATGCAAAGAGAAAAATTGTTGGCATGCAAATATATTCATATGACTAAACTTTTATTTTGATACAGGCAAGACTTCCACTTGGAAATAGAAAGCTAAATACATAGAATTAAATCCTAATCTCATTGTAGCTGATAAGACTTTGACTTTTCCAATTTTACCCATAATATTTTTGTGGAAAAAAATCTAAATGAAATATTTTCTATTGGATTTAACACTAAAATGGTGTATGAGGGGGAATTTTTTTTTTGTTTTTTGTTTTTTGTTTTTCGATGAAATGAATTTTACCTTGCATTTGAACCTGGAAAAAAATATGGCATAAAATAGTTTGAAAAGTGTTTTTATTATTGTTATCATTGTGTAGGCTGACACATTTTCATTATTTTCATTTATCTTTCTCTCTCTTGTTTGTTTTTATGTTGGTTTTTGTTTCTGGCTTCTAGGATGAAGTTTGCCCCAAGGCTGCAGAGGATACTATTCAGCGGTGTGTGTGGGCATCTGCTGTTAATGTAAAAGACAAGTTCATTTATGTGACTCAGCCCACTTTGGATAGAGTGCTCATTGTTGATGTACAGTCTCAAAAAGTTGTGCAGGTACCTCTTCCAAATTTGAAAATTAAGTCTGCATGTATAACGTGTTTTCAGTTTTTTATATATTTTTTCAGACCGCCAACTTAGAATGCCTTGAAAAAAGAGTGTTCACTGATCATTGTCAGCAATCCCTCATGGTCAAGGATGGTCACTCCTGTGAGGGATCACTGACGATGATCAATAGACACTGTTTTCCAAAAACTATTTCAAGTTGGCTGTCTACAATTAACACTGAACATTATGGCTAAGTACAGGCAGACAAAAAGCTTGAGGCTGAATCAATTCAATTTTTGCAGGTTAGTCTATGCTGCGTAGATTGAACTGATAAGCAAGTGAACATTCCCTTTTAATTCCAGAAATGCAGCCACATGCCTGTGGTGGCCTAGGCTAGAAGCTGGGTGGTGCTTAGAGCACTCTTCTCTGCTCGAATGGAACAGACAACTTGAATCTGGAGGGGATTTGGGACAAAAGTTCAATAAGCTGATTTAACCTAAATCAGTTAAGTCTGATACTACACATCCATCCAGGTTTATCTTAAACCAGTATCAGCCATTTTGAAAGCAGTTTATGTGTACTGAACTTGTGCTGTGTTACAGATTTGAACCAGTTTCTGATCACTTATAGTTGTTTATGTGTAATTTCTGTCCCTATCTGAAATAAGTTAATGATTCTTTACCAGTGTTTTCCCTTTGGTTATTTGATAATAATGCTTATTTTGTTGGTTTCATTCTTTCTCCATTTAGAGGCAGTTAGTAAAGGAGAAACAATCAGAAAATAACTTTATAAATGTAAATGAACCATTGTATAGTTTCCAGTTAAATTGTTTTTCACTGGAAAATGCAGTTATCAAATCTGAAACTTTTCATGGGTGTGTGAAAATTGAGTTTTGAAAGGAAATGTCCAGGATGGACTTTCAGTTAAAGGACAAGACACCTACCAACAATCTAGTGTTTAAAGGGCTAACCTCGGTGGCTGAAATGAAAATTCATGTTGGTGGTCTGAATAAGGTAAAACAGGCTATTGATAATTTTATAGTGTGCATCATTCAGTCACCCCCATTGGAAATATCACACGTCACTTTCATATACACATTATAGCCATTAGCATAGGGATTTGACCCTTGAAGTCCTGCATCCAAAGTTATGGTCCTAAGCATTGTGACCACAGTCCCCAGTGTCAATATTTTCTCTCTTAATAATATCTCCTGTTGGATCTGTCCACCCTTTGTCTCCACCCTGTTTATTGGATGAGAGAGAAACTGACATCATAAACCAATGGTTATGTCATTCATTTTGAATGTGGGAGACCAAGATAGAAATCATAGTGCTAATGAATATTTTGTATTTTATACAAAGTGGAACAGTTCCAATAGCAGAGATTGAAAGGAACCTGACACCCTAAAATCATCAGTAGTATTTTGGTAATTAGGCTGCTTACCTGATTTAGGGAAGTGAGAAGATCAAATATTTTGTTGAATCAGGCAGAACAGGGCTTTGAAGTTGGTCTATTATATTCTGGGTAGGGGCCTTAACTGCCACATGGCTCCTATATGGCTTCTCCTCCCCCCTCCTCCCCGCCCCCCCCCCCGGGTGGGAAATCAGGGCTATATCTTTTTTGTTTTATTCCCATGCATATGGTACAATTTTTAAATTGCATTTTTATTTTGTCAGTTTGTCAATACGTTTCCTATTCAGCTCTAAGTAAAAGCCTTATTGACATTTAAAAATGGAATTCTATGGTTAAAAGAGTATTTTGCCAGCAAATTATTAAAAAATAAATAAATCAAAAGAACTCAAATTGAAGGTGTTGGATGATATATAAGCCCCAGTGGAACAGACTCTAAACACACATTTTAAAAAACACTTGCATTTAAAAAACATAATACAAGACTGTGAAGATCAGTGGAAATGAGAAGCGAGGTGACTTTAAGCCAATTTGTGCTTTTATGTTCTGGGCTCTTGTGGAGATGGGTGCAGCACTTCATAAGTTATGGCAGACTGTCCCTGGCTTTCTATAGAAGCACTTTGTGGGATACCCACAGATCTCAGCAATGTTGCTTTGCTTCCACCCAACCTAACTTCCCTTTCCAAAATCCATTAATGTGCTAGTGAGCACCCTCCCTTAAGATGAACAATACCTGGACTAGAATTGTTTATCTGAACCAGACAGTTTTTCTGTTATTTGTTTTTTTGCACATTCAGAGACGCACCCTAACAAAATGGGTCTTTACCGGCTGCTAGATTTGGAAAGTTGTCCTGATCCATCTGTGACACTAAACATTTTCCTGAAAAACTTTTATTGTAACCACTGTGTTTCCTGAAAGTTTTCGTTTTGGAGACCTGAGCGTTTCTTGTGAAAAACATATTATATTAAGAAAATTCCAGGCCAGCTGTTCCAAGAAAAGGGACTTCTCATAGGATAGATTAAGGTACTTTGCACTGGGCAGGTATTCCTTAGTTTAATCTAGAGCTTTGCCAGGTCCTTTGGTCTTTCATAAACTGTGCAATGGTTCTGGCAGGGGAGAACCCTTCCCTATTGACAAAGAGCTTTGCATTTTGGTTTGTTTAGCAAAGGTGGATATATTTTGCTGTAGTTTAGTTCTGGTGCCCTTCTTCCAAGTCAGATTGATGTCAATGACTCAATAGTTTTTACTTACTTAATATATATTTCCATTTAGGACAATGGAAAGACTCTGATTACTACAGACCTTGAGACCATACTTCTTTTGAGCTCAATGAGATTATTTTATTTAATGGCAATTAGCACAGCCTTCTATCAACAGATATATGAAATGAGCAAAATGTCTGTATATGCTTTGAAAATAATAGTATGAACTTCATGAGCCTTAAATGTCAGAGTATCAAGATATTATTTAAATGATAAAATCTCTAGTATTTACAGCTATTTACAAGACAGATACAATTTACAAGGGGCAAAATCACAATCAATTTCTTTACTGGTTCTTTTTCAGTCTGGTTATACAAAGAGACATTATAGTCCATTTTTCATTTTTAAATCAGATGCATACGATAGAATATATTTCAGTATACAGTCTTTAGTCTTTTAGACTGTTGGCATTTGACCAGGAAAATTAACTTTATTTTGCTTTCAGCTGCAACAAAGGTCAGTGAATTACAGGCACACAGTTTAGGATTGCCAACAATCTCCTGCCCTCAGTGGAATTTTCTAACTGCAGTAGATTTCAAAACATGTAAAATCATCTTTAACTTATTTCAAAAGTAGATTTAGCACAGCCTAAAATAAATTTAATTCGGATGCATGGAGCTTTGAATCCAGTTAATGAATAAGCCTCATAACTTGTTAGCAATTCCCTCATTCTCGGAAGAAAGGCAATTATATGTGAAATTAATAGAAGGGGTCTGTGACCTCACAGCAAATGTTCAGATTTAAATTTTAATCATACAAATGTATGGAGTCTGAGGGGTTCTCACTCTATATAATGTAATACATATATAAAACAAATATTCTAATGACATGTAATCTTCATATATAATAAAATCCCAGTGTAAATGATTAACTAAACTTTCATCTGAAATGTAAGGATTTTTTAAACCTTATTCTGTAGACAAATCCAATTTGTTTTCTAGACTATCTAACTGTCATTATAAAAAAAATAATGGAATCATTATAAAAGTACCCAGGCTTTAAAACTAATTTTAAACTTAACAAAACTATGATTTATTTTTCCCATTTTAGGTAGCTACATATTGTAAAAACTGTTGCATTTTAAAGCTAATTGTTATATTTACCAACATGTAATATATGGCTAGTGCACTAACCAGCACATCAATATTGATTATTACATTAAAATCTTAAAATCTTTCAATTTAATTATTTAATCTGAGAAAGGTATTTTAGAAAATATTTTGTGAATTTTTTTTTAAATTTGGTTTTTGGTTAAAGAAGAGAGACTTTTTCATTTGATTTGATGTTTGTATCACAAATGTTACTGAAAATGTTATCAGAATATCCAGAAAGGTGCAAGGGTTTCTTTTTTCCTTTACCAAAAACAATTTGAAATGAAAAAAAAATCTGATAACCAATGTTAAGATGTTTTTGGTAATTTTTGAAGAAAAAAAAATAATGCGAAAAGAGAGATGGAAGTTAGTATTGAACAGGATGAAACAAAAACATCTTTGATATTTTGAAAACTGCTTAGACAGCCAGGCTATCGTGTCGCAGATTTAAAATCTGAAATTGCTGAAGAATATTTACAGTTTCTTGATTCTGAAATTAGTTAATCTCATTGCTTAGGTAAAGCTAAAAGGTGAAATCATAACACCATTGAAGTAGTAAAATACCCTGTGGAATCAGTATATTATGCTTTTGAGTAAAAAAAGAAAATGCATAAATTGGAGGTCCTCGTATATTGTGGATTTATGAAATTGCATAACTGGGTTTTTGGTTTAATATTTTACATTGCAGATTTAAAAGCTGAGGCTGCTGGCATTATGTGATAGAATTGACTGGCTATTTAATTCTTCAACATATGATTAGACAAGTTTTTAATATGACATTTTAATATCTAAGAAACAAGTCAAATTATGAGGCTAAAAATGAGACTATAAATCAGCTTCCAAGCAAAATGTGATCAGGTAAAAATGTATAGGTCTGTTATCAAGAGTCCAAATACTATAGGTTCTACAAGCTCTCTATATAAAGTATAACTTATAATGCATAAAGTATAAAATGTAATGCAGTGGCTGTAGGTTGGTTTTGCATCACCTACCTACACCCCTCACATTATACATAATCCTACTCAAGAGGGGAACTAACTGTTGTACCTCTAAGTATTCCAGTATTGTGGGAAGAGTGGGACTGTATATGGGGAATAGATCTCTCTTAATCCCAAAGGTATAGTTAGTAGATGTGTGCTAAGGTTCAGTTCCTGATTTGATTTGATTTGGCAGAGATTTGGCCCAATTCAGTGGCCAAATCTCTGAATCTGAATCAAAGCATAGGACCTTTTAATCTCTCTCAAT